GAGTTTCAGTTTTTCAAATTTCTCCAGACAGCTTTTACATGAGTATCAAGCAATGCTGCTGCTTATAGTAAACCACAATGCATTTATTTTGAGACCTATGAAATTGTCATTAGGTATAGTTGCTAAAAATGACTTTTGCTGCGTGTTAGGCTGACTGTTCTTTATATGGAGGACCGAAAGTGGCACATTAATACACTACAAAGCACAAAGGTACAAAGTAAAAAAAACAAAAGAAAAACATAAAAAATTAATACATTTATAAAAACTGAATCGCAAAGTGAGCTCCCTTCTATAGAGCTCAACAAAATGGAGCATGTTGCTCTAATAGGATGCCACAATTACGAGAAGTTTGTGAAATTTCTTCCCTCCGTCATCGACTGTGAAATGCTGAGGTTGCTATGCGCTGAGGTGCATACTGCATAGAAGTCACCCATACTCTGCTACCACACATAAAGAGTTCTTTTCCTCCTTCGGTATTAATATCAACACAAAAACTGTGTCGGGGACTTCATGGCATGGATTTCCATGGCCGAGGAGCTCCTGTAGGTGCGACACATCTGTAATACAGTTATGATTTTGACATCTTTGGTCCTCCATACTTCTGCGGTATTTCTCTGCCTGGTCACTCTAGATTGTTTACTATTCAACTAAGCCCAAATGCAATGTGGATTATTTCAAACCCGGCAGAGCTCACTGCATCTGAAGCCCAGCCTCTCATGTCTCAAGTCTCTGTGAACTCCAACCCCGCTCATTGAAACAGACACACACACACACATAGATAGAGGCATACCAAAATGTCCTGTTGGCCCAAGGCAGCTGCTGCTAATTTTAGACGGCATGTAACGCCTGCCGTGCCCCAGACCTCCTGCCGCTCAACAAACCACGCCTCCTCTTCCTTTCCAATATGAATTTTCCCCAGGAACACCCCCACCCCCATAAGTTACCAAAGTTTGCAATCCAGACCTACTCTAACCACCTATCAGTTCTCCAGGATCCAGTTGGCTCATTGGAGACCTTTGACATAAATTCAGGGAAAATATCGGGCAATTTTATGTGGGAAAACAGACTTAACATATATGATATATTATTAATTAGTTTGACCATTTTTGTCTCTTCCATGTCAGCAAAACTAAAGATATGGCTCTAAAATGGTACTTAAGCCTGTGAACACCACTGAAGGGACATGTGTGGTTTAGTAAGAAATGTATTTTGGTGTTAGCAAATTATTGACCCAGGAACAAACAGTTTCCACTGAGGTAATAATAGTTTTCATAAATATTGTGAAAAAAGAAGACAAAAGAAAGTCACAAATGAAAGCTAAGCCTAAAGTTAAATAGAAAAAAAAACCATGTTTCAGTGAGAATTTGCCAGTTTGGAGGTAAGTGAAATGCACAAACTGAAACAACAAATGCCTGCAGGCAGCCCAGCCCCCCACTTAACTCAACCCATTACCCCAGCCCTCCACTGCAAGCCATAGTCACAAATCTTAATGCCAAGCTCTAGCTATAGCATCCCCTTCAACTTCCCCCTACCCCAGGCATACTTTTCTCTTTTAGAGATAACTAAGAGAAAATCAGCCACTTTACAGATCTTGGACAAGATCAATTTCTGGATGAACCCACAAAGTATTATAGATCATAATGGAACATCAGGCTTGCAGTGCTGTGAACCATACTAAAGAGGCAGCAAAAGATCTAAAGGTTATCTTTTTAAATGAAAAATCCAAAATTCTTGTCCTCTAGCTATCTCTGTGTTGCTTCTGGTTCAAGCTGATGTCAATGCTTTGCTTGCTGTCTTTCCCGAAAACACACATCCCCATCATCTCAATCCTCGTGTACCACTTCTTAATTTCCCTCTGACTTGGCCCCGAAAAATTTGTGGGCTTGTGTACATTTGAGTTTGTGTGTGTGAGTTGGAAGGGGGGGGGGCAGCTAAGAGTCCAAAGGGCTGAGGTCATCTGTGTAAACATATCACAGACACTACAGAGAAGTCCGTGAATGAGCGCAGGCAAAGACTCATAGACTTTTACATATGCTTTGCCGTTCCATGCTTGTGGCTTGTACGCCACATGGGCAACAGTTAATTAGAATGATGAAGCACCCGGCATTCACTGGCTGATCTGGAAACCACATGCAAGCCTTGGTAAAAGCACATGAGTTTACCAAGACACACAAGCACACATGCACACACACTCACATCAGCTTTTTGGGGAACCCTGACCAGGCTGAGCTCCATCTGACTACTATAATTACATAGTAATAATACACCGAGGCCTGGATTTAACAACATGACATCACAACTGTTTCCTAATCTAACCAATTAGTAGCCATGGAAACCACTTGCCACTGGCAGCTGACAGACCCTAATCACTATCAGACTGTGGGAATCTTTGTTCGCATGTGGGATGGACAAATGAACCACTTAGCTAATTAACTGTTAGATTAAATGCTGGTAATTTTGCTGTTTCTTTGTTTTACTGATCAATTAATGCTCAAAGCAATATTATTATCTGAAGAACAAACCAATCAGTGTTTATTTTCTCTTTAGAAGTCACTAATTTGGATGTCAGCACATAATAGACAACAGTTGCTGGTGTTAAGTGTCATTAATTCTTTGTCTAAACAGGAAATAAACTGACTGTTTACATGCCAAGAAGACCAAAGTGCTCCTAGAATACCTAAAGGAAGATGTAAATCATCTAATGAATTCAGACATCTTTCACATCCATTAGTGCCATGCGTTATTAATGAATCTCTACAGTAAATTAATTCTTTAATAACAGATGTCTGCTACCTGATTGTGAATTTTTATGCAGTTTAAATGGATGGTAGTGGCCTCAAACTTGAAGTCAGTACCATGTGATAAAGCAATGAAAATGACACTGTGCACGATTGTGTTCCGATTTTCTGAGGAAGCCTTCCATTTGTCTTAAGATCTGCTAAAGTATTGATGAGGATGGACGCTGATGGTGATGACAATGAGTATCAATTATTGATGAAATCATTAGCATGTCAGCTGCAGACCGCAGACGACGAGTGTGTATATATGTGTGCACGACATACTGCTCTGCAAGGGTTTATTCATGCTTATCCAGAGAGCCAGTCAGACAGAAATCACCTCTCTATATCTTTGCAGAAGACAAACAATGCTTGCTAAAATTGCTACCACATGACTAAACACTTGCACTCGAATGAGTCAGAAGAGGTTTTTATAACTTTGTCCAGCTCCTGTATTTACTCTTAACCTTCGTAAGTCTTCGGCTTACAGAGCGCTTAGTACTATTAGTGTAATAGTAGCCCTTCTCTATTTAAGTGGCTGGTTGGGGCTGAAAGCTATTAGCACTATTATTGTCTTTGATATAGTGTATACACACTTAGCTGAAACAAGACAAATGTTCATTTAGATGAGACAAAGAGGCCCAAGTGGTTTAATTGTATTCAGCGGCTGCCCATTACTATATGTCAAAGCTCTTGGCATTTACAGTGGGATCTCCAGTGCTACCTGTTAAACTACAGTATCAGCAAGAGTCAGAATATTCTGCAGTTTCTCATGGCCTCATTCAAGAAACCAAAACTCATTTGTGTTATTTATTAACTGATTTTTCAGCACTTGAGTTTTAAATGTTCAAGGATTATGCAAGAAACAAAGTCTTTTGCTTCTGCTTGTTTGAGCCGTGAGAACTTTCCACTCTCTTTCTAAAAGTCCTGCATTGGTGTAAGTGCATGCAGCCTGGTATGGCTGCCATGTTTAAACATGGCCAAAATAGTTTCTCCATCTGCTGCTGCTGCTGTGCCCCCACCCCAACCACCGCACATACACTTGTGTATAAATGCGTGTGTGTGTTCCTGTGCCTCTGAGCGTCTTAAGTGTGCGTGGTATGCCGTGGTTCCTAGCTGGCGCCAAATTTAGTCCCAGGCAGTGAGCCTCGGTGTAACTGTTGCTCTAAAGTCCCATCAGCCCTGAGCCAAACACTTCCACAGATGCCTTTCTGATGGTAAAACACAACGGCAACTATCAAAACTTATTCGAGACTACCGAACAACTGGGAAGCTAGTATACCTCAAAACCTGACTAAAAAGCTGATTCTCCTCCAAGTTGTGGAGATATAGATGTCAATGACAGCTGACAGGAACCACAAGACAAACAAAGCAGTGTTGTAAGACAGACAGCTAGTAGGGGAATACTGCACATTACAACTAGTGCAACAAAAATCGCTTTGTTTTATTTGATTAAAATGGGTGTAGGAGGCTGTGATGTCATGCAGCAGGGCTTCGAACATGTTAAGCATATTCATATGTATCTCCTTGTTGCAAGATTTCTATCAGAAAAGATCACTAGCAGTGCCCAATTTATTTTTTCTTCATTAAAACTTCACTATAAGGAAACAGCAATGACTACATATCGGAATATGTAGGCAAACGATTATCTACGCAGACATGTACAGATTCAGTTTGATCATGAAGCCAACTTCTTTTAAGTTTGATTCTTATGACATTAATTTGCCTAAACATTAGATAAGATAACCTCTAGTCCATGTGTGGGTTTCATCCTTGGATCACTGTGACTTTCCGTCTTTGGTTTTATGTCATTTAACTTTATAAGTCAAAGTTCAGTACACTTTGGCTGGAAGCAATGACAGACAGAAAAGTGGATACCAGTTCTTGACCTGTGTATGTGTTTTAGTGACACTAAAAAGTAAATGGCAATGGTACACTTAGGGGGAATGGCAGGCTATAAGAGCAGAAAGGACTGGAAAACTTTTCTGGAAGCCGGAGGTGTGAGACAGCCATGTGAAATTTTATACTGTGAATGAAAGAAAGCGATAACGTTGAGGTGAAACATTATTTGTGACGGACACCGCAGACCTCACAGACAGAAGGTCAAAGACACATAGAGAGAGAGAGAGAGACAGAAAGAGAGACAGAGAGACAGAGAGACAGAGAGAGAGAGAGAGAAGAGCCGAGCAAAGAAAAAAAACCTGTTTAAACAGAGTGACTTACCGCCAAGGCCTGCAGCCTCTCTTTGTGGAGTTGAGCCTCCTCACACGACATCCTGAGGGGGAAGCAGGGGAAAGGGTGGTGAGAGGAGAACAAGAGGTGAGATCGGGGAAGAAGAAGAGCTGCAGTCCCTCAGTGAGAGGTAGGAAGAGAGGAGGAAAGTAGAGGAAAGAGAGGGAGACAGGGAGAGGTGGAGGAGTATCCAGATGAAGTCTTTCCTCGGCAATAATCCAACCAGAGAGAGGAGACAACGGGAGAAGGAGCTTGCGCTGAGAGGAAGCAAAGATCTCTCACTCACTGGCCATGTGCCCTCACACTCAGCCCACTGCTTGCATTTGCTGTCTCTCGCTCTCTGTCTATCACCCACTCTTTCTTTCTCTGTCTCTCCTCCCATTTGTCCCCTCCCTCCCTCCCTCCCTCTCTTCTTTAGGCATGAGCCATGTGTGATTAAACAGCTGGGAGGAGCAGCTGAGAGAAGGATGGTGAAGGAAAGGGAGAGAGAACTAGCAGTATGGAGGTCGAGCTGTGTGAGAAAAAAGGGGGGAGAAAAAGGAACGAGGTAGAGAAAAAAACAGTGAAATCAAAATTGCAGAAGTAAGGAAAACAGAAGGAAAAGAGTAATTTGTCAAATTTGAAAGATGAACTCCCCAAAGGCGAGAAAAAAAAAAGAAAAGTAAAGGACTATTTTCCCCCTTTTTTCAGCAGTTTTCCTTTCTCCTTATCCTAAAGGTGACTTGGATATAAGCCGTCTTATTACTGAGATCAGTCAACAAAGCGCCATAATCACTGATCACTTCTTAGGAGCAGGAGATAAACATACAGATAAGGAAATCACTATTCAGGGGAATTAAAGCATTAAAACCTAGCCTTTTATTTCAGATTGCCTGTAAATAATTTTACTTATTACTTTTGACTTTTTGACCAATCTAATTCTATCAAAAACATCTGCACAATGGTGCCATAGAAGCTAATCAGTTAGTTATTGTGGTTTTTCATTTCCTTTGATTCACGACTTGAGTCAAAGCTTCCTTGGAACACTTGCAGGATGCTCTGGTTACGTCTAAACTCTGAGCACAGAAAACTGTGTGTTAATCCACTGACAAGTAACAGTCCTTACTCATATCCTCAGTCCTTTTCTTTGTCCACTTCTAAGCTCAGGTCCTCTTCCACTTCTCTTAACTTATGGTGTGCCACAAGGTTCTTTATTAGGGCCTATAGTGGTTCGGATATTTCTGTTATATATGTTTAAAACCTCAGTTTTTTTCTTGCTTTTATCATTTAAGAAATATGGTCAAGTTGAGTTCCATAGTGTCAAGATCTGAATTAAAATGATTGTAATTCATTGTTCATTTGTCCCAACAAAGCTTCCTTGGAACATTTGCTGAGGAACACTGACTAAGCTTTGTATGTACTCACTCACTGTTACTAATTCAGTTGCAGTGAAGAGTGCCCATGAACTTCAGAGTCCATTTAAAGATTCTGGTTTTGACTTTTAGACCTCTGCATGGATAAACTAATGTATACATGAGTGAATTTATACATCCATACATTGCCAACAGGTCAATGGTGTCATGTGATCAGAACCTGCTCAGCATACAAGGCTGAAAACTAAAAGGAGACATCTGTGGATGTGTTATTACTTGAAATAGTGTTATCTTGTGATAGTGAAGTAGGAGATAAAAGTGATCTTGTTGTCACCCTTCATGGGGATATTTAAACCCCTGGGTGCACAGTTCAACAGCAAAAACTGTCCAGCGATGGCCAGAGCAGACATCGTTGCCATTTGCTATGGAAATATTGATCTTATTATTGAACTGAAAAAGTAAAATTCATGTGTATTTGTGTCTTTCAGAGTAAGCAATTTAACCTCCTGACACTCGAGCTATCGTTTGGGATCCATTTTTACTTTGTACTATCTGTTTGTGATTAGTTTGACCGGGTTAGTAAATGATCTAAACTTCCTCTTTGAACAGGAAATCGTTACTGTTTTAGAAATTAGCTTAATGTGTCTCTTTAAAAAAAGTATGCTCGCATATGGAGATAGGTGGTTTATTTTATACCACAACAAAATAAGGTCAGTGTTGCTTCACAAAATATTACACTGCAAAATCTCCAGTGTTAAATGGACACTAAAAAGTGTCTATATGTGTCCACTCTTTTGAGTGTTAAATTAACACTTCTGACAGTGTTATATTTCTAACAGTAAGATAGTCAGTGTTAAAGATTAACAATGACTAACACTGAGCAGTGCTGATTTTCTATCACTGGAAAATAACTAAAAATGCTAGTAATATTTCAGTGTTAGAAAAAAAACACTGTTAGTCATTGTTAATCTTTAACACTGACTATCTTACTGTTAGAAATATAACACTGTCAGAAGTGTTAATTTAACACTCAAAAGAGTGGACACATATAGACACTTTTTAGTGTCAATTTAACACTGGAGATTTTGCAGTGTATAGTCTGCCTGACATACCGATGACGACTGATATTTTCAGCTGATATTAGCCATTTGCATCTATCAGTACTGGTATTTATAATGGCTGATAAATGAAAATGAAAATAGTGAAGAAGAGATGGGAGAAGCATCATTCAACAATGTTATGAATGTTAAAATCTCAAAGTTTGTCTACAAGAGGGCACAACTTTCCCCCTTGACAACATATGTGTTTGGAAAATCACAAAAGGAACAGTCATCTCTCTGAGTAGAGTCAAGTAGAGCCTAAAGGGGTCAATGAATAACTACACATAAGAATTGTTAAGTAATCTTGCCTTTCATGGGTCTTTTGGTCACATATTCTTTTGGGTCAAATATTGACAATATTTATATATAAAAATCCACCAAATCACCAAATATCTGTATTAGTCATAAAGATAACATATCATTCAGGCTCTATAAAGTATAAAACACTATTGAGAAGACTGAGGCAAAATGTGCTGAGAAGACAACATGTAATGTCTCCATATGAGGACACAGAGTCTCAGGAGGTCAAACCTTCAACCTAAATGTTGCTAATGCTAAAGCTTTTTAGCTCAGCAGATTAAAATGTTTTCTTTTGTTCTAAGCGACATGTTGATAATAAATAAGTTCTGGCAGAGAAGCTCAACTTTGCTAGGAAGAGGTCCAGGTGATGGCATCTTTCATTTCAAAACAATTTTTCCACCATGTTGCGATGTCTTAAATAGATGTTTAAACAGTGGTGAGTCAGTGTCAAACTGTTCACAGGGAATGGCAAATTGATGCAATTCCTTTGAAATAACACGTCACCCATGTTCACAAACTCGCTGCTGCGAACAGGTGTTGCAATACTTCCCTGCTATTGCTGTTGCTATCGCTGGGCTCTGATGTGACGTAGAAACATGTGTTGTATGACGTGAGTTTTAGAAGAGAAATAAAAAAGCCCAAACTTGCACAGTTCTAAATTTTAGACTACACATGGTTATCACGCTATCATCGACGAAGCTGACTTGGCAGGTTCCATTTTCTGGCCTCTCTGGTGATCCATTTATTTTAGTGCAAATCAAAGCAACATCAACAGAAGCTGCCTACATTAGAGGATCAGACGCAGGGTGAAAAAAAAGGATCAAAAAGGGAAGATTATTGTGTCGCTCCATGAGCTGGGTGTGGAGATGAACATCAGTGGAGCATCTTTGTTAAGATAAACTGCAAAAACACATCATTGAAAGACACACACACACAGATAAGGCAGTGATTTTTTTAAATGGGTCACTGTTACCTGTGGCCCAGTTCTCGCTTCTCCTCATCCTCGACTCATAGGTTCACCTGAGTTTCACATATTCTTCTTTTCACACCTCTGAGACCTTTTTAATCTTCCTGTCTTACCTTTTCAGCTCATTCTTTCTTCCCTTTGCTGCATTCCTGCTCTCTTTCTCTTTTTTGTTCTTACTAATTTTTTCTTACATTTTTTCAACTTCTTTGCTTCCTTCCAATTCCATTAATACTCTCTCTTCATCTTATCCTCCCTACCTTTATCACTTTCCCCCCCAGTGCTCTCATTCCTACTCGTATCCCACCTGTCCTCCCTTCCATCTGTTCACTTGTTCACTTTCTCTTTCTTCTCCCTCAAATGTGCCCTTCTTCTTCATTCTCCCTTTTTCTTCATCCCTCCTTCCACAAGCAGACATCCTTATAAGGAGAAACAGCAGCAGCAGCAGTCCGGGATAACTCTTTAGGGAATACAGAAGCATGTAACACACACACACACGCACACACACAAGCTTGCATTCAGACACACAAGGACACAACAGCCACTGCATTACTCAAAGACAAGAATGTGGATGAAAAAAAAAACTGCAGCTGTCCCTTGAGTGAGTGTGTATAGTTTTAATATTTACACACTGAAGATACTCTGGGAAAATCAACCAGAAATGATAAATGTGTTATTATAATGTTATTACATAAAAAAAGCACACAGTCAACTCTGGCGCAGATACTGTAGGCTGGTGGGATTCAGGAGCGCTGACGCATTCATTTAGCTTTGCATGTCTTTTGTCACAGCGATAAAATGTTTTAGTATTTAGTTATGCTTCAGGTTTTACTTATTCAGTCTTACTGAAATATTCATAGTAACTAATGTTCAGTCATCTTTATGTACATCATCTGGTAAGAATTAACAAAAAAAGACAAAAATCACCTCACTGAATGTCTCAGAGGACAACTGTGAAGCAAATACATTGCTGGAAAGTGTCTCTTTTACGCAGTAAAATTATTTTTAAATCAGATTTGTCCTGTACCTGATGCTACCTAATGATTAACTTTTGTAACTCTTTTGGTCACATATTCTTTTGGGCCAAATCCTTAATATATCATTCTGCTACACCTTGAACGTCATCTTCATTAGAACGCATTGCCACATCCTTAACATAAATCATATCCCATATAACCTTAAACTATTTGGGATCTTGAAAATAAATTTATGACTGTAATCAGAGCTCAAGTCTGGCATGTCTGAGTGCTTTAGTTTAACCTGGATTTATACCAGTTATCTCATATTGGCTGCTCGCACTGTCATTACAAATCATTCTTCCTTACTA